GAGGTTACAATTCCTGTTTTCCTCTTTCAGTTTTCAGCCGCTTTTGGTTGGCTCTATTTGATTGCAACGGATTCCATGAAAAATGTCGTATCTGAGGAAAACGAATTCTACTTTCGCCTTTTGATTGCAACGTGGAAATGAAAATCAAATTTCAGGGTACAACCACTTTAAGCTGCATTTTTTTTATTTTCATGGAAAACGAATTCCTATGTATTTGGTGGATTTTTATTTTCCAACTAATATGGAATTAGAATTCATTTCCACATTTGTCTATCAAATGGACCATTCATGTTCATTGCGCTTTCTTGCTAGAAAATGTGGTCCGGAAGCTTCTTCTCTCCCTACCAGCAAGACAAGATTCTCATTTCTCTTAGTGAACATATTATAGGAGTAAATCATCCACTCAGGTCAAAATTCCAATAATAAGTGCCAAATTTCCTTATTTATTTATGTTTTTACTGGCCCAGGTCCCCGCAGATGAAAGATTTGGGTCATTATGAGCAACTTTGGTGTAAAGTTAATAGTTATTTAAAAATTATTTTCCTGGTACGTCAAAATCATTAATTTCAATCACACATTTATAACTATGACTTACTTATTAAATACAAATTTTGTAAAACCCAACACTATTAGTTTACAAAGATTGAGAACAAAAAAATGCAAATTTTCCATAAAAGAATGCAGAAAGGTTCATGTCCGTTCTCACATAAACACCTTCATGCCTTCAATATAAGGCAAAGGAGTTTAAGAAAATGAGGTCAAAAGATAACAGTCCTCCCTATAGGTGATATGTCTCGTACGTCACAAAATTCTCTAAACCGAAACTGTAGCAGTTCATCATCATGCCTCAAAAATCAATGTTGATCGCCAAAATTCAGAAATTATATCTTCAGTTGGCAAAGACCATATGTACAAAAAGAGCACTTGCTGTTTTTACTCCACTTTGGTTGACATCTTTCAGCGAGTTGCAAGAATATGATGGAAAAATCAGTTAACTGCAGCATACTGCTTATCTCAATCTAGATTTAGTCCAACATCTGGCGACACTAGTTTTGGAAAGAGACCATAATCTTTTATGTAAGGCTACTATTTACCATCTTCAACATAATCTAATTCTGATGAATATAGCTCATCATCTTCACTGAACAGTTCATCACTCACCGATCCCCAGCTTTGAGAACTTGTATTTTCTGCAGCGCTTGCTTCAGAATATTTACATATGCATGGAAATGGGTTTTCATGGAACTCGCCCCTACCGGGCTGTACCTCGTTTGGTTCTCCCATGAAACCAATTTGGAATTTTCGGACTTGTGAGGCAAATTCTTCCCATGTCATATTATCTCGATTGAGGAAAAGTTGGTAAAGCTTTTTAGCATTTGGGCGGATTGTTGGTTTGTGGCCAAAATATCTCCTGCAACAAGAAACGTCGTGGTAGTTTTTCTTGCCGGTAGTAAAATTGAAATATTCCTCAACAAAAACAGATTATAGTTGGTGCTAGAGATTCAGAGCGAAAACTTTAAAAGCAAAATAAAGAATAATTTACCTTCTACCAGAGAGCATTCTTGCCATATTTCCATTGTTATTGGTGCTGAAAACATCACTTTCATCACAAACAATGAAGTCCAATGCAGCCATGCGAGAAGAATATGACGATAGTGCTGCTAACTCTTCTTTGCTGGCAATAGTCTCTTTGGAATGAAGATTTGGGAAAAGAGCTCTCAGAGGTGCCAATGTTTCTTCACCCCCATATATTTCACCAGATGCTACATATATATGAACGTCATTTCCAAAACCCAATGCTCTCAACATCAGGCCAACCTCCTCGGGAGTTAGTGGACATCTTCCTTGCCTTCTTTCCTTGTCAGGATTTTTCATCTGCATATCATACCAAAATAGTTAACTGTAAGGCAGGCTCTAGGCTTTTTTTGTTCAGAGCAAGGTTGAAGTTTTATAGCAGGATGATTGACTCACATGTAAAGTTTTCCACCTCTTTCGTATTAACCCAAAGTCTTTCATTTCTCTCTCCCCTCCACCATAATAGCATCCAGAGAAAGCTAGCATATCGGATTCGAATCTGTTGATTGAAAATTCATTATCAGCAAGAGTGCTCCCCTGGTATGATATCGAGTGAATGATCTCACAGCAACATGTATTTATATTTCAAAAGATTCTCGTACAGTACACTTAAATACTAGCCAGAGTTGTATTTTCTTCCTGTATTCCTTTACTTTCAATGAGATTATCATGCATGTAACTTGCTGCAGACAAGCTTGCCAAACAGTTAATGCACTACTTTAGCAAAACAATCATCCCAATTAACTAGAAGTATTAATGTAGCATGATTAAAGACCAAATAGACAGATGATTACTAAGTCTGGAAAATTAACAACTATGAATTTAAGAATGTGGTTGAGATTAATAGCTTTCATACCTTAAATGCAAGGCAACAAAATGCTTGCTTTTCATTCTCATCCTTTCAACCAATTTTCTACCCATCTCAAGTATAGGATCAGTAAACTTCAAAGCACGGTAATTAACTCTACATCTCAGTTTCTGTAACTCTGTGTTAAGTCGATTTGAGAGCCTGTAATCAAACTTTGTTAGCTGAACAGCCTGCACCTGAGAAACAGACATTGTTCCCAATTCAGTTTTGAAACTATTGACGTTTTGAGAAAATAGTTGGAAGTCTATAAAGGATTAACAGCAAAAACCATCATGTCATCATTTGGCCAAATGTGGAAAATTAAATTCCAGACAGAGCTTTGATCCCGTTCCATCCACCAACTCCCACAGCATTCTAATGTCAAAACACTAATCTGTTATCGCCAAATATAACCCCTTATTACCTTTCAAAGTCCTTTGATTATTATTTCAATCCTTCTCAAAATATTGTCAGTTCAAGTGAAAAATGACCTGTTTTAATGACTTCTGATCTAAATTAATTATTAGTTTTGAGTGTGCCGCAAAGTCGTTTCAGATTAGCTAGTTAAACTCAACCGGCAATTGGTGCTGGCATCCATGGTGAGGCAGCAATAGAACAACCATGATCCATGCTCTAGTCTAATTTCTAATCATTTTAAATGGAAACCGCCAACTATGGAAGTATAAGAACTCTTCCAGGATCCGTACTTCATCTAGCACGACTATCTCAATAGTAGAATGCATCATATAGACAGACATAATCAGTAAAAACAATTTCTATGAATGATGTCAAGGACTTACATGCTTCTTACTGAAAATGGGCGAGATACGAGTCTCATAGCACTTCGGGTTGCATTTTCTAGGAACACGTGTAGTTATTACTTTACCCACGCTTTCCGGAAGCTGTTTGATAATTTTGACATCTTTTGACAAATATGTCATAAACCAGTCAACATCAAAGATCTCAGAGAAGTTGCTGCCACAAACAACTCATCGAATTAATAAAATGAAAAATTGATTCATAGTTCTAAGAATTGAATTTGCTAAGTCTGAATTTACCAACAAACCTGGTATCCTTCCAGTAAGATTTTTGGTCAAGCTTTGGAATGACTAAGGTAGCATTCAAGATATAGGCTGCAACAACAGCATCTGTTATCTGCAGGCATAACAGGTAGAATTGGAGGGCTAAGTACGAACAACAACACTGATTAAACATGCGTAATCTTCAAAAATGTGGCACTGGCTGCCCTCCACCAATTACAATAAACTCTTGCACGAGAATCTCGAGGAGAACAAAAGGAAACTAAAATACACCTTATTTTGAAGTAGAATTAAAAGATCAATTAGTATTTCCTTTGATGGATTTTTTGAATTGAATTATCAATTAAAAGTTTCAGTTTATGGACTATTGAATTGATTACTGATATATTGATTGAATTCTCTTCTCTGTTTTACTCTTCTCTATCCCATTCTGCATCACTGAGACTTCATTCAAATAGAGCAAATATTTTGAAAATAATTGAACCTTCACGAACAAAAGGCTTACCCCTGTTCTCTGTTGATTTAAGCCTCCACTCGTTGCAATTAACAAATACCGATTGGGTTGTGTGTTCAATTCGGCAGCTGCAACACGTGATTTTGTAAAACAAATCAAAACCAGTAAACTGAGATAATCCCTGATTAAAATTCCAATAAAAATCGGTTGATCACTCATAAATGAGCATGCAGGCAAATGAATACACATAAATAAGTAGATATACAGAGAAAGAGGTAGTACCTACAAACTTATCACCGGCGTTACTGCAACCGTGAAAGAGTTTGGATTCGTTTGAAGTCCATAGTTCGCGGTCTACGCTTCCTCCACCCACCTACTCGGAAAAGGAAAACCCATAAAAATTTTAAAAAAAATGCAGATGCAAAAATACGAGAAGTGCAATCAAATCATAGCATATAAAAAAGAACATGAAAAGATCATCTAGAAACTCACCGGTACTAGAAAAACATTCTCTTTCTTGGCATTCATCTGAACCTCGATTATATCAATGTTTACCTTCAGGAACACCAAACGCACGAATCAAACACCAAAAAATCATAAAAACACAAATGTAAAAACAGGTGAGAAAAACAATGTTAGTACAATACCGAGGAATTAAGACTGAGGTGGTGGCGGCGATGTATGCTGGTAATGGGAGGAGAGATTGATGAGAGAACGGCAAAGAGGAGGAGGAGGAATCCTGAGACGGCGGATACAAGAGGAAGAAGGTGTCTGAGGAGACGGCGGCGACGGAAAAAAATAACTTGTAAAATCTGCACTCCGATGAACTGATCGTCTTTAAGTTTTTTCTTCTTCATCACGGCCGGGGATATTGAATTCTAAACGAATAAAGAAAAATGGTGACATACAATACAAGCATTCCTATATATACACCAAAACCAGAACAACCATTGAAAGAGTCAGTGTTGTACTTGGTCTGTTTCCTATAGTTTTTCTTTTTTTTCTTTTTCTTTATTTTTATTGGTTTATACCCAAGAACAAACATTTCTTCCTCATTTGGTCCCACTTAAGATATGGAAAAAAAAAAATAAGACAAAGCACCCCAATTTTCATATGGAATGTTTATAAGTCCCTAAATTTTAAAAGTAAAGTTTAAGGTCTCTAAACTATATAAAAATGTTATTTGGATTTCACGTGACAGAAGGATTCAATACAAACGTTACAATTGCACTGTAAATGTTTTTTGGATTTCATGTGATGGGAAGATTCAATATTAGGCCCTGCTTGGTAGAGGTTAAAATCAGATTTTTAGTAGATTTTTATAGAAGTAGATGAAATACGTGGTTGAAAAGTTGTCAGATTCATAAAATATATGGTTAAAATTTATTGTTGATTTTGACTTATATTAAAATTTAGATTTTAATTGGTATCAAACAAGGAAGTAAGACGTTACACTTGCACTGTAATTTTAGTAAGTATTTTGATGATCTTTCCTCTATTTTAAGTTATGGGAAAGCTGCATTAAATTTTAACGTTTTCATCGACGATTTCAACCATTTGAGGACCAGATTTGTAAATATAAATAGATTGTAGGACTCAAAATCTAACTTGAGAAGGTTGAGGAGCTTGGCCTTAAATTTTCCTATAAAATATTGAATTTGCAGGTGAGGCTACCCTAGTTGGTCCCTAACCCTTTTGCTTTAGCCAAACTACCTGTTTGGGATTATCTCAGATCTGCTGAATCACTCACAATTACAATGTGAACAGATCTGACGCATCGACACTTGTTATATTTACTAAAGAAGGTCGAATCATGTGAAATTAGCCGCAAATTGCTAATTACTCATATGCTTAACAACATTTAGATCTTGTATGAGGAAGTTTAAAAGTTGGATCAATTTAATATCGATTCACTCGAGAACAATTACGTTGGAAACTTCTCTACTCAAACTGATTCTTGATTTTAGTATAATTGATAAAGTAGGAAGAGTTGCTCTCCCTTGTCTCTCTCCATCGTTGACATAGCTAGTGTCTATTCGGGAAAAGTTGAGGATTCCGAATCATAAGAATTGAAAGTCATATGCTTAGGTTTCGGCACCCGCTTCAAAGGCACGAGAAAAGAAAATCTTTTCTTAAGATGTGAAACTTGTTTCATAGGTCACATTGGCTAGGTTGATCTTTCATCATCAAATCGTGAGTTTCATTCCATTTCTAGTTCCCTTCGAGAGAGTCTAAAACTTCGCTATCTTATGCCCGAAAAGTCATCTTCTTGAGCTATCCATTCTATGAGCGGGGTAGCTAGTAGAGAGAAAATCTCCATCTTTTTAAGCCGATCACATTGATTTAATTAAAACTTGTTACGATCAGGCTCATTTGGCAGAGATCATGTTGGGAAAAAACTTGGGTGAGGCCAGTTCATTTGGCACTTCGAGGGTGTCTTCGACTCTTAGAAGAAGGAAGCTAACATATTTCTTAAGATATATAATTTTTAATAATTATTTTTTATTGAAATCTATTAAATCTTTTATGATAATCTTTCTCAAAGAGTTCCTATCTCAATGTTTTGAAATATTGAGATGATAAATGACTTCAAAACAAATCAGAACACAACGAATATAAATACATTTTTAAAACTGTTGTCACTTTATTAGTTTTAAGTTACCAATCTTTCAAAAAAATGATTTCGTTATAAACATAAGCTCGAAAATATCTAACAGTCCGTAATCTAATTTGAATGTACGGTGTTTTATTTCAAATAAAAAGTTTAAAATCAGAAGTAGCTTTTTTTTTTTCTTTTTTCAATAATTTTGGCATTAGATTATTTATTAGTACGTCTATTTCTCATCAAAATTGTGACATTCTTCCGGCAACATCTTTTAAGGTTGTCTCGTGCATTCCACGTGATTCTCTGACCGTCCTTTTTCTTTTTGTTTATGTTAGTTTTTAGAATCAAAATCGCATCTTACTGTTGAAAAATTAACTAATATATTCACTTTGCAATTAGGATTAAACGCTAAATTTGATGTTATTTTAAGTTGGTGTATTGTTGTCTTGTAGTGTTTTCTGTCTGAGATGTTAACTGATTCTAAATCTATGTTATTTAAATTTAATCAAGTTGGGACAGATGAAACTATTTTGAAAGTTGTTGGAAGGCAAACCTAGCTAAAGCGTGAGCTGTCTTATTAACTTCCAATTGTATTAATGAACAAGAGATTCCATAGTTATTAGACTCGAGTACTCGACTCAGATATCGACCCAGATGAGGTACTGGGTCTCGAGTTACTGGTTGAATCGGTGAATCAATGATCAGACTGATGGATCATTGCATAAAAAACTAAAGCCGATCGGGTTAACTCGGTCAAAACCGCTGATTAACTTGGTCAAAGCCTATTTTTGACCGAGTCATGTGTATTCTTATTAAATTAATCTACTCAACCCGTGCAAGGGTCCGAGTCACCAGTTTTTCGAACTGGCCGATCCGAGCCAGGTTGTATAACTATTAGAGATTCTTAAAAACGAGACACTCGTCTCCAAAATACAATTACAAATTATTGTTTCACGTAAAGAATTTTTTTATATAAACCAATAATATAATTATATTACTCAAATACCTGGTTTCCTTCCCAATATGTTCCATATTTGTATTTTGACCTTTCATATATATTTCGACCTCGTCGTATGGAATATTTCATTGTTCATACCAAGTTGTCATTAAATAATAAAAAATTAATCCAAAACTCTACATTTCAAACATGATCGTGATTGACCTAATCACTGTTAAAGATAGAACAAAAAACAATATGATTTTTCAATATTTATAGATATAAAAATTAAACCTTTTACGAACGCTGCTATCCTATTCTTTAATCACAAACACTATACTTTCAGATTATACGAAATAATGGCTCGGGAATCGACATATATCCAAAATTGTATACAAATTTATGAGCATGAGTTGTCACAACTCACAAACTCGAACTTTAGCTTCGAACTTTCAAAAAAAACCCGAAACAAAGCACCAACTTCTAGGTAAATAGTCACAAATTAATCTATTTTTGTAAATAATATAGTTTGAGTGTTAGTGTTTATTGCATCTAATGTTATATTGATATTGAAAGAGATATTGTGTGTGTTAATTTTATCCACCAAAAAACACCTAAACTTCAACTGCTTCTGTACACTAAAACAATAGCTGGTCAACCAACTGGAAATATTCAAAATTATCAAATACTACTAGGTTAAGTAATTTTTTATTATGTTTGAAACATCTAGGGTTGGGCTGTGAGCTGTCAATGCCTTGATGTTTAAACTTAATCCCATCTTATAAACTATTATACATTATTTTTGGTGGTTGACTGAACGAAATATATGAATTAATAATTTTTGAAGCATCTAGGGTATAAAACTTTGTGGAGGGGCACTAACTCCAAGCACCACGACTTCCCATTATATGGATACTGAATTGTTCTATTGTCCACGGTGGACAAGATAAAATGTGTCCAATCCCACGTCAGCAAGTCAAGTCGTTATTGATGTCAATTCAACAATGATGACTAGACTTTTGTTGAATTGTCAACAATAACGATTTGACTTATTGACGTGACAATGGGCACAATAAACTTTTGTCTTCCGTGGACAGTAGATCATCCCAATATATGGATCTATGCTAAGATAAAATCTAGAATTTGCCAACAATTGCATGGTGTAATTGCGACATTAATCTTCATTTTACTATGTTTGTTCGTGTTGGAAACATATTTTTTGCGAATTATTTATTATTTTTCTTTTTAAATTTTATGGATTTAAGGTTGAGCTTCTTTGTATTATTAGTTTTGTATTAGTGAAGTTTACATGCACGTGATTTGGAGTATTAAAATGTTAAAATTTAAAGTTGGATACCAAATTGTTAGAAACACTATAGATTTGAACTAATCTTGAAAGTTTTCACAATTGCGTGCAACATTCCACGGGCTTGTACTCTAGCAAAATCGTGAAGGCTATCAATGCGATTTTCCATTAAAATTGATGTGAAGGTATGGCATAGTGGCCCATCAAGCTAGATTACATTGAGCTTGGAATTGGAATTGGACTTGGACCAACCCAACATCGACAAGACTATCTCCCCTCTGTAATCTCTATTCAAAATTCCACATTTTCCCTTCTTGATGTTTTGATTTTTTAAGTCGTTTTTTTGGTATATAGTATTTGATTTGCTCGGCATTAACCACTCCAACTGAGGCAGCCGATGCTATTATTGATGTGAGTTTCTTGGTCTCCTTTTTGTTTTTCCAATAATCATGCTTTTGAATCTTCTTTTTAGACATTCCTCTCACTGTACAATGTCTGATAACATTTTCCAGAATTTGATCGATGATCAATTTGAATGAAATAGCAAGCTTTAATCGTTGAACAAATTGTCTTCTATCGACGTGTGCATGAAGATAGATTGAGCTACTTCTAACGCGACCTCTTCTTTTCTTCCTCCCAAATAGGTGCTTTTCCTTTTCCTTATGACGAAATTGGTTGAGTTTTTGTGCCCAGATGATCGGCACTCTTCTTGCTTTGTGTGGCTAATACGACTCAATGATTATATCATCATCTAGTTGTACCATCATTCCAACCATCCTTTCCCTGGTAGGTCAACCTATTTAGCCATCTTCCTTCGATCGAGCTTTATTAAAAAATAAATCTTGCCTTCAACGATTCAAACTAGGAGTGATTGCTTTTTTATACTTCCATATATCAATGACCTTGTCTCATAGGTTGCCCAATGGCACAAGTGTTACTTAGGTATTCACAATCGGCTAACTGTTGTGAGAACTAGAAAATTAGAAGTTGTGTCTTAATCTTCCGAAAC